GTTGCAGAATTTGGCTTTGTAATGCTTGTCATTGATCAAACTTCACATATTTCCCACTGCATGTTTTTTTATTACATATTTTGGTTTATTTAATAATGCTTCAACGTACCATTAAATTGTATGAGGGTCAGAAATTACATCGGGCTCATCTAAAATGTCAAAAAAATTATTTGAATAAAATATACGATAAAAAATAAGTTTTACAATGTAACGAGACAGATATTGGCTCTGCTGCACACCCCTAGTCTTTTCTTCCCTATTTGTGACGTATATCCGAGTGAAACGGCTTCTCGAACAAAAAAAAAACATGTTGGGTGGGATTTTGTCCATCAGGAATTAATTGGATGGTTGGGGTTTGCTATTGCGGTGACTTCATGTGAGTGACAGGTTGCCCCATGCCAGTAAACGCATCAATAAAGAGAAGAGATGTCACTGCAAGAGCGAGGGCAAGTTATTTTGATTAAAGATAACCAGGGCACTTAATAAAAATAAAAAAAGTTAAATGTTCACAGATAAAAATACTGCAATCTTCCATAAAATAAGGATGGTCAATTTTGTTTTCATGGTGATTTTTAATACTTTTATTCTGCTAGGATGCATTAAATTGATCAGAAGTGACAGTCAAAGGCATTTATAAAATGTATATACAAGACATTGACAAAAGATTTCCATTTTAAATAAATGCTGTTCTTTGAAACTTTATATTCATCAAAGAAATCTTGCAAAAAAAATCCATTTCAGTTTCCACAAAAATATTACTCGGCACAACTGTTTTCAGTTGATAAGAAATGTTTCTTCTGCAGCAAATCAGCATATTAGAATGATCATGTGACACTGTCTTGGCTTCTGGAAATGTAAGCTTTGCCATCACAGAAATAAATTACAGAAAGTCCTACCGAGCTTAGACTTTTGAATTGTTTTTTTGTTTTGTTTTTTTTAGATAATCTAAAATTTGATATGTAGCTTATAGCTAGACAGTAGACATGCATGAAATCTATAGTAGTAGACATCTTTAAATATGTTGAAGTTGATCTCAAGAGTGCTATATTGTAGTATGTTTGCATGTTTCTTGTTTCATCAGTGTAGCTTTATAGCCTAATGTGTGTGTTTGCCCCTGTAGTCTTGGCAGGAGCTCTTCTGGAACAGGCTGAGCAGCTGTTAGACAGAGGCATTCACCCCATCAGGATCGCCGATGGTTATGACCAGGCTGCAAAGATTGCCATCCAGGAGCTTGACAAAATTGGGGATAGTTTCCCAGTGGATCCCAACAACACAGAGCCTCTTATTCAGACAGCCATGACCACGCTAGGGTCCAAAGTGTGAGTGTGTCTGTTACTAGTTGTTTGAAATGTACAGTTTATTACTGAGATTATTGTAAGGGATTATCATCAATGTATTCACTTTTTGGGGGGTCGTAGGATCAACCGGTGCCACAGACAGATGGCAGAGATTGCTGTCAATGCCATCCTGACAGTTGCAGACATGGAGAGGAAGGATGTCGACTTTGAGCTCATAAAAGTGGAAGGAAAGGTCGGTGGTAAACTAGAGGACACTCAGCTCATCAAAGGTGTCGTTGTGGACAAAGAGTTCAGTCACCCTCAGATGCCCAAGGTTTGTGTTCACTGTTAATAATCATTCCTGGTTGCATATGTGTATGCATACGGTCTTCATTAATGAGTATGTTTTATATATTTCTCCAGGTACTGAAAGACACAAAAATCGCCATCCTTACCTGCCCGTTTGAGCCACCCAAGCCCAAAACCAAGCATAAGCTTGACGTGACCTCAGTGGAGGACTATAAAGCTCTGCAGAAGTATGAGAAGGAGAAGTTTGCAGAAATGATTCGACAGGTCTGTATATTGCTTGTTCTGTTTGCGTACTTAAGAGATTGTTTTAATTCAATATATTTGTATTTAATATGAATATGAATATTTAATATTGTATATTATTTAATATGCATTTATAATTTGTATTTCAGTGTATTTTTCTAAAGCTATAAAATAAAATTTAATGGCAGTTTTATTTTACATTGACAGATTAAAGTGCCTTAAAGACATCTTATCAGTTTCTTTGTTTGCATTTTTTTTTTTTTTTTTTACAATTATGTAGCAAAAAATCTTAAACAATGGCAATGATGTTTTCTCAATCTGCATGACAGCCCTCGTTCAGTATAGAGTTATTTAGAGCTACAAATTGAATATTCTGGATGTATTGCATTTTAATGATAAATGTATCACTGATCATACAATTGAATTGTTTTTTTTTTATCTCCCTCTTCCAATACGTCTTCTAAAGGTCAAGGAGACTGGGGCTAATCTTGCCATTTGCCAGTGGGGATTTGACGACGAGGCCAATCACTTACTCCTGCAGAATGAGCTTCCTGCCGTCCGCTGGGTCGGTGGACCTGAGATTGAGGTTTGTAAAAACTACATTGCAATACACTACTGTTTAAAAGTTTGGGGTCAGTATGTTTGTACATTAAAATACTTTAAAAACAGTAATATTGTGAAATATAACAATGTAAAATAACTTTTAACACATTTTAAAATGTCATTTATTCCTGTGATGCAAAGCTGAATTTTCAGCATCATTACTCCAGTCTTCAGTGTCACATGATCCCTCAGAAATCATTCTAATATTCTGATTTGGTTCTCCAGTAACATTTCTTATCAATGGTAAAAACAATTGTGCTACTTAAAGCATGAAATCAAAATTGACCCTATTTACTTTGTTAGCACACATTACTAGTCTTGTGGTAAACGATTCATCTGTGCAAGTTAATCCAAAAAAAAAAAAAAATTTGTCTTCAATAAAAATCTGAAATTGTACTTCCCCTCTGGAATGGCTTTCCTTCTCTGATGAACCAGATCCAATGACAGCAAGCTGAATGGAACGCCTACTTTTTTAGATCCAATCAATTCCCAGCGGAAAAAGAGCCACGCCCTCTTTTCTTATTCAATATTCCATTTCACTCTGAAAATGTCACATTACTGAAGTAAAGTCGATCGCAACTTCCAGTTCACAGGGACTTTAATTTTTTTGTAGACATTTGATTTATTTGTTATTATTATTCTTCATTAAGTATAAAGTTCAAAACAACAGCATTTCTTTAAAACAAATCTTTTGTAACATTATAAATGTAATGTTCACTTTTGAACATTGAACACTTTTGAGTCACTTTTGCTAAATAAATGTACAGTATTAGGTATTTAAAATATACCTTTCAAAGAAAAACTTCCAGACCCCAGACTTTTGAACTCTCTGGTATCTCACAACGTCTTCAGCTTTATCACTGATGGGTAACTAATGTCTGTTGAGAGTATGAACAAACTATGACACTTTATACAAACATTTCCAGCTCATCGCCATTGCTACTGGAGGACGTATCGTACCCCGATTCAGCGAGCTGACCCCAGAGAAGTTGGGCGCTGCTGGGTTGGTGAAGGAAATTTGCTTTGGGACCACTAAAGACAAAATGCTGGTTATTGAGGAGTGCAAGAACTCCAGAGCCGTGACGATCTTCATCCGTGGAGGGAACAAAATGGTAAAGGGTTTTAAGTGCTAAATTGGGATTTTGCCCCCTCAAGATATTAAATTAGTTTTGGTATCATGGTTACAAATTTGCAATTGTCTATTCATCTGAATCATTTAGATTATCGAAGAGGCTAAGAGAGCTCTTCATGATGCTCTGTGCGTCATCCGTAACCTTGTAAAGGATAACCGCATCGTGTACGGTGGAGGTGCCTCAGAGATCGCCTGCGCTCTTGCGGTCAACCTGGCAGCTGATAAGGTATTTTTGCCGTCATCTGTTCTCTACATTCTGAGGTTTTTGTTAAGCATATTTCTAAAACGCTCTGCTTGGATTCCAGTGCCCCTCTCTGGAACAGTACGCTATGAGAGCGTTCGCTGACGCTCTTGAGGTCATCCCTATGGCACTCGCCGAGAACAGTGGTTTGAACCCTATTCAGACGATGACAGAGGTCAGAGCTCGGCAAGTCAAGGAAATCAACTCTGCACTTGGAATTGACTGCCTACATTTATCAACAAATGGTATGAACTTATTTAATATACTTCTTAAAATATAATTCTTTACAATACTCATCAACAGAATAGGCAAATGTAAGAAAAACAAAGTAAAGAATTATATTATTAGTAGTGCTTGTGTAAAAGGAATTTAGAAATGATTTATGTAAGATTTTGAATTTTCTAAAAGTCTTCATTTGATTAAAAAATACAGTAGAAATGGTAATATTGTGAAATAATAGAATTTAAAACAACAGTTTTCTATCCAGTTTTCAGTGCCACATGATCCTTCAGAAATCATTCTAATATGCTGATCAAGAATCATTTCTTATCAATATTGAAAACAGTTGTGCCACAGGATTCATTGATTAGAAAGTTTAAAAGAGCATTATGAATTTACTCTAAAAAATCTTTGCTGTCACTTTTGATCAATTTAATGCATCATTGCTGAATAAACGTATTAATTTCATTTTTAAAAAATCTTACTGACCCCAAACTTTTGAACAGTAGTGTAGTGTTTTTTTGTTTGTTTTTTATACTTTTTTTATTAAATGTAATTGGTTCAGTCTTAAACTGATACAAATTTGACCTAAATCTTTACAGACATGAAGAAACAGCATGTGATCGAGACCCTCATTGGAAAGAAACAACAGATTTCTCTGGCCACTCAAGTAGTCAAGATGATTCTGAAGATAGATGATGTCAGGGGCCCCGGCGAGCCTGAAGACTGAGCGACGCGCCGCTGTGCTGAAAATGAACGGTCCAAGCACTTCTAAAGGAATGTGTCGAACCTGTACTGTTATTTATCATTTGATGCAGTTCAATGTAGTACCGAAGTGATCATTAAACTTTTGTTTTCAGATTTGTTTATTGGTTGTCATTGACATTAGATTTTTGAATCTTGAGTAGAAAAAAAGTGCTGTATTAGTATACATGCAGAACTGCAAAAGCTTTCAAATAATTTCAAGTTAATGTCATCAGATTTACTGCTTTTTATCATTAGACTGTCATTAGAAAATGTTTAACCTTCACCTCAGTTATTTTAACCTGTTGCAGTTTACAAGTACTTCTTCAACCAGTTGATCATATCTTTCCTGGCTTCCTCGATGTAGGGTTTATCATCTGGGTTAATGTCTTCTCTCTTGCGATGGACAAACCCATGTGTCTGATTAGGGAAGATTTTCACTTGGAAGTCAGCAGTGCACTTTTCCTTCAGTCTTGTCTCTAGTGTGGTCACCTTGGTTAAAAGTTAGAGAACAATAAACATCATTAAATGATTGTTTGGCCAAAGTTTATGGCCCTGAAATAGGTTCATTTATTAATCCAGTGACTTCATAACACATTTACCCCCATTTATTGTTTCTCATTCTTAAGAGATAAAATGCAAATAAATCCATATTAGACTGAATACTCGAAGATAATTTTAAAGAGAATTGTGATTGATTATACTTAAATTGTGCTGTTTGGTGCAAATCTAATAAAGCTCATTTTCCATGTCACGTGAGGCAGCAATAAATCAGGACTATGATGGAACATATTTATTAATGTCAATGTTGAAACCATTTTTTTTTTTCAGGATTCTTTAAAAAAGAAATAACATTTATTTGAAATTAATTTCTTTAAAAAAAGTTTCTGATCCTAAACTTTTGAACGCAGTTTAAGTCTTAAAAGAAATGTGCTCTTCATATCTTAAATGACCTCAGCTTACCTGATCAAGAGGTATCACTGCATCATTTTCTGCAAATATGAAGAGGGTTGGACTCTTAAGGTCAAACCTGTCTTCCCGCTCTCTAACGATACCTGGGTTAAATGAATGTATATATACAGTTGCTAGAATTGCAGACAGCATATTGACATACTTTCTGTATTCTTGACTGTTCATATAGATGCAACAAATACATTACCATAGACTGAGACGCCAGCTTTAATTTCTTGATACTGAAGAGCAATGTAGTGTGTCGCAACACCACCCCAACAAAAACCCACAACACCTATATGCTTTGCACCACACTGCTCCTTCAGGTACCTCAATACAACATCCACTTCCCTGGAAAAACAACAAGATTGTTTAGTTTTTCCTTTGAAGGCATGGTCAGGTGCATCAGATAAGAGCATTCAGTTCATTGAAATTGTACTTTTTGATGTCTGTAGGTTTTTTGTCGTCAAGCCACTGCTGAAATGTTGACCAGTCATGAGATGGGCTCCACGCCTCTTTTCCAACAAAGAAATCTGGACATATAGCACTGCAAATGCAAAATAATCAAGTAAGAACAGGGATATCTGAACAATTTTAATATTTATAACATTATAAAACATTTACATGTATCCATTGGCTGAGAGCATGTCAGCTATGTATCTGGTGTTTGGAAGCTGCCATCCATAAATATCTTGAATTACAATAATGGCCTTTTCTGATGCTTGAGGCTTCACCACATAAGCTTTAATGTGCTCGATTTGAACTTCCTCTCCAAGACCTCCATATTCAATCGTATCCCCGATATCACATGGACAGGGCTTTGCTTCGTTTGCCATCTGTTCATAAAAGAAAAAAAGGGTATGAACCTATTCAATCCCAAATTTCCCAGCAATGTATTTCATTCCTCGAAACAAACTGTTTGTGACAGTATGTGGGTTATTCTATTTCAAACAATAAAGTATATATTAAATCTAAAAGGCAATTGTGAGGAAAAAAGAAATGATAAACACAGAATATCTTCACATTTACTTGATTTAACTTAATGTAACTTTTTTTCCCCCTTTATACTGTGATCTATTAAGTGATAAACAATTGTGCATTATGTTTACTTTCCAGTGATAGTGATTTTTATGAGATGGAGCAATCTACAGGCTAGGCTACATAATAATATATCCTTAGATATTATCTATATCAAATATGGTAACTGTATACTATTTGTATTATTTCATGTATATTTGCTTCCTTATGTGGAACTTTGACAAAGATAGAATCTTACAGATGAAGTTCTTACAAACTGTAATTACCCAGCTAACCACAATGTTTGGTTCCCAGAACGTTAACGTAGGCATATAGATTCTTGGTTATAAAATATCCTGAAAAATAACCATTAGCCTACAGAACGTTATGTTCGGGTTCTCTTTGCAACGTTTGCAAAAAACTCTGCAACGTTCTGGCTAGTTTAGTTTTTGGTTCCAAAACCCCACAGAGAACATTTCTAGAGCGTTATTATTTGGTTCCCAAAAAAATGCCAAACGGGAAATATGCTCACGTTTGCTGTGTAAACAACACGAAATCAAAACAGTTTCCACTTTATTTTACAGTCGACCACTCCGTGCAAAATAAATCGACATCTTTTTAGACTCTTCAAAACAATTTGGCCACATATGTTACGTTATAAAATAGGTTCAAATCTTAAAATAGGAACTATGGAACTACTGAAATGCGCCGCATTCTGACAAAAGAAAGACGTGAATGAATCACGTGATTACATTTGGTTCGTTAATCCATTTAAAGTTTTCAAAGCAACATGACTCCCAACAAACATTCGGTAAAGTTGCACTTAATGCTGATATCGACAACAACACAGGCCGCATTCAACATTGGTTTTTGCTTTACATTTTGAAATGCACTTACCGCACCGCTGAACCGAGAAACCTCGAATTTATTTCCCTGTGAGGAAACGACAAATGAAAGGTTAAATCCGATTCTTTATATCGATGAACAGACTGCAGAATTCAGTGTTTGTCCCTTTAAGCAACGCCCACCATTCCATATGCGCTCGCGTCTCTGTACTTTGTTCATTATGAGTTAGCAAAATTATATCAGTTGAAAGTAAATGGATGGGTATGCTTTAAAGTGTTATATTATATATTTATTGCGTATCGATTCGTGCACCGAGGACATTCGTGCCCTATATTTAGAGTTCCGGATCATATCTGTCCCCACAACAAACAGAAAGCTTGATTATGATACGATAATATGAATTGTAGACATGAACAACAATGTATAAAGAAGAGCATGTAGGCTTATTGTTTAATGCTGTTTTATTAACTGTTTTTTTTTTCTTATAACACAAAAAAAAAGCATTTTACAACAATACAATGTGAAAAAACACTGCCATTGCTTAATATAATCTGCATTTTACAGATCCATAAAATAAAGAGTTCACATGCAAAAGCCTCTAAGTGCCATCTGAAATTTTTTTCAATTTTTTATCAAGCTCATATATTGAAGTGAAATTTCAGTAATTTCACTTAAATGACAATGAAAATTACCTATTAATTGTCATTTAAGTGAAATTACTGAACTAAAATAAACTAGCTTGATAAAAAATAATCATTCTCGAAGAATATTTCAGATGGCACTTAAAGGCTTTTGCATCTGAACTTCAAATATAAAACTAAATAGGCCTCTACATAGCCTACCTTCTACTGTTTGATTGGTGTATCATAATTCTGAACATGCCTGGAGATTGACATGATAGTCAAATTAAAGATAATTTTTTATCACATTTCCAGCATGTTATTATAAAAATGCAAAATAATACAACTTATATAAAGCAAGACTGATACATAGCCTACATCTGAACTGGGTTTTCGCAAAAGTAAGATCCTCTACTAAAAAAGCTTAAGGTATGTTTGAAACAATTGTTGTCATTGTTGTTTTGTTTGTTTGTTTGTTTTTGATAGAGGTTCCTATAAAAGGTATTACTCATTTTGTTTCAAATCAATCCATGGATCATAATCTGAGTTGGAATGTCCATCTAATAAGAAATTGTAACTGATTTGCCATAAAATAAATTAGAACATTTGGAGCATCTAGGTCCACCTGTAACATATTTTTGCAATGTGGACAGACTGATTCTAGCTTTTGTATTTTTCCAATAAAAATCGCATTTTAATGATTGAAGCCAGAAGTAGGTTTAAATGGGATCAGTGAAAATAAATCATTAATTTGAGGGAGGATTTTAATTTTGACAGTTGCTATCCACCCCAGAGAGAGAGCCAAGTAATTACAGCTTTTTAAATCATTCCTCATTTTAGTTAATTGGGGTAAAACTTAATTGAACCATTTCTGAAAGTTATGGAGAAATAAATATGCCCAGGTATTTAATGTCACCTCTAGAAAATAATAAGTATGGGACCTGGGCTACTGCCGAAAGTATTGTTGATTTTTTTCCAATTTATAGTATAATCAGAAATCTGAGGAAATTATTATTGCCTGTATTTGATTGTTGATAACTGGATATCTGTTAAATCTGGGTTATCTTTGAAGAATATAAATCGCAATAAAATGATTGAAAAATCTGTTTTATTTCCTCTGATGACTGTGCATTATTCCCAGTGGAATCAATCATAGCAGTTATAATTGATTTTTCTCTTTTGTGTTGAAGTTGATTTGCTTAAAATTGACCAGATTTGTTATAGCCTATTCATTATATCTAAGCCGTTGCATCATACGCATGTAGAGCACGTGTTTAGATGCTGACTGCTTTTCTTTAGTTTTTCATGACTATTAATCTCACTTCAATTGCCCTGTGGTATAACAAATTAATTTCTAAAAGTTCAAATATTTGATGTATTATCTCAGTTGCAAGCATAACTCTTAATGAAACAACGTCTCTATTGTTGGTTTGCCACCAGAGGGCGTACTGTAACCGTTTTTTGTGAAGTTTACCATACATTCAGATTCGTATGGTAAGGATAAACGTCACGATAACTTTATAATAATTATATTATAATATTATATTTAACATAATACAATGGTTTAATAATACCGCATTGAAGCTATTAATTTACTGATTAAATTGCATTTAAAACAGTGGTATAATATTTTTGTATGTTACCATTGTTGCTGTTTTATGAATTGGTTTGTGTTTAATAATTGTTTGACCCTTTGAATTTTGCAGACAAGCCAATAAAAGGCCTGTGATAAATACAGGTATGTTATGGAAGCAAGTGCCTAAACAGAAGTTAAAATATCCTGAGAAATATTGAATAACGTACTGATAAATAATCAATAATATTAGTGCAGTGTAATAGTAAAGGCTTTAGGCTATGTCCCTTACGTGTGAATGAAGTGCACTCAAAAGGCACCGCTGGGATTCGAACCCAGGATCTCCTGTTTACTAGACAGGCGCTTTAGCCATCTAAGCCACGGCGCCACGTGCGCGCCCTCCCCAATCCATGTTTTTTTTTCTAAACTGAAACCGATTGAAACCAATTTAACTTTCGGGATTCATTCGAAATTCGCTGATCTTTTTTGTGCAACATAGTTAATCACCAAATAAATCATATTTATCGTGTCTGTAATAGCCAAAAGACACGACACATAACTTTTATCTCATTGATGTGTAATGTCCTGACACAACCAACGCAAATTGCCAAATTAATTTAGAAATTTTAGTTAAAAAGCTTTCTCTTACGGCTTTTATAGTTCAGTTATCCTGTAGGACGGCCATTGTTTTACAAAATAAGGTGTTGAATGCATCATAGAAAAATAAAATTGAAATGTTTCAGATCAATTCACCATCGATGATATAGTGAGAAAACGATGGGTCTCAAACTAAAACATTAACATTCTGGAAAAGTCCAACAAGATCCCAGAATTCAGTTCAATTGAGCTGAATAAAGTTTGTATGATTTTTATGGACTGTTTCACCAAAAAAACGAAATTGTACAATGTAGTCACAATTACAAGACATTACTCTGCAATTGTGAGATATGAAATTACAATGTTACTTAGATATCGTCACAATTGTGAGCTTAAGTTGCAATTATGAGAAGTAATGTTGCAAGTACCCTTTTTTTTACTCTGAGGCGAAAAGTATTGCAATGAAAAATAGGCCCCCCAAAAAACCTCTTGAGGACAAAACACTATTATTTAGAAAAAAATGTATTTCATTCTGGCAAAATTAATATTCTGGATTAAAATTATTATAAGTATGGAGAATTGCTGTTTATTGTTGGAAAGAAGAATATTTAACATGCGGCTTTATTCTACAAACCAAAAAGCTTCTATATTGATCCAATCCAGTCGCTGCAAAGCACTATGGACGATCCTAATTTATCTTTAAAGAGTAGGCCTACTTAAAAAGTACCAAGAGACATCTGGCCACGTGACCAAAAATACCCCTGTCTGCCAAATGCATAAAGTTTCTTTTAACTATCCAAAGCGACTTACATTGAATTGAGGGTATACATTTTTATCAGTTCATGTATTCCATGGGAATCGAACCCATGACCGTGGCATTGCTAGCACCATGCTTTTTGAGCTGCAGGAATGCATTTTTCTCAATATACCGCACAATTCTGTCAGACATGGCGACACACGAGCTGAAAAACCGGCTTAGGATTGCAGCACACACCCTGCTGATGGATCCTCTTACAGGGATAAACCCACCGGATAAGATCCTGATATCTAGAGAAGACAGCGTCTTAAATACACGTTAAACTTAAACACATCAGCACAGCAGGTGATTGTATTCAATTAGAAAACCCAGAGAGCTGAACAGTTTGAACATTTATTTCTGGAAATTAATTACAAAGTCTTCAAATACCAGTGAACCACCAGATTTTGGTAAACAAGTTAGCAATCTGATTATACTCCTCTCAAGAACAAGATACAGGGCTATGGATTATTATTATTATAGTGGAATAATTGTCTGTTATCCTACTGAAAAAAATAACAAGACAAGGTTATAATCTACCGCTGTGTCTGATTATTACAGTTTGACCCTTACAGACCACAGTTTGGCATCTATATGTACATGAAAATAGCATGAATTTTGGATGACAAATGTCACACAGCAGAGACAAAAGGTCAAAGTTAGTGTTTGAGGAAGTACAAACCAACCAGGAACTCTGAGGAAACACAGCTTCACATGTAGGGTCTATAATAGTAAATTAAATATTGCCAAACACCTTCAAGATCTGGCTTAAAGGGATAGTTCACCAAAAAAAAAAAAGTTTCTGTCATCATTTACTCGCATTTATGTCGTTCCAAATCTTTCTTTTCTGTAGAACACAAAAGATGATGTTTTTGACCATGCAGTGAAAACCAATGGAGTCCCACTGAATTTCATAGCACAGAAAAACAAAAACAGACATTCAAAAAAATTATGCATAATCCCTTTTACTGCAACTGATATTAATACCCAATGAATGCCTGAACTCGTAGAACTGCTATTAGTGTTTCTTTTGACATTAAACACAAGATGCATATGTGCTTTAGCCCTTTGCTGGTGAAACAAAATGTGAGACACACACACACACACACACACATAGAAAGTAGTTCCTTACATTACATGAATTGGATCAAGGCAAGGCTTTGCCATTTTAATAAATAAGTTAAAAATAAGCATAAGCACAACTAATAAAGGTCGGAGAAGTAGGAACTACGCGTCCCCTAATCTCTGCTGTCCCCTTTTCTCCCTGTGCAGTCAGCAGTGGAGGACTGGTGTTATTGTAGAGCAGTAATATATGCCCTTATTCGAGTGCAATGCTTGTCAACGTCATCGTCAAGATTACAATCATTACAGTCATTATCGTCAAGATCCACTACAACATCACTAGTATCAGCACAAATGCATTCTTAGATTAGTAAGTGTGAAAGAAAAAAAGGGGACTGGGAAGTTCTTTCATTTCTTCATGAGTTCCTCTACTTCATTTAGTCTTCTTTGCATTTTTCTAACCACTCCTAGATGTACCAGACTACTTGTCGTGGAATAAGCACACATAAAACATGACTTCCTGTGAACAGAATGAAGGGATATAGAAGAACGTCACAATGTGGTGAAACATGAAGAGTATTATGTGCTCTACAGGATGATTACAGTGCAATGAGTCAGACGGATGAGCAAAAAGGTCATCTGTATCCGATTTTTATGAGAACGCCAATGCTTAGAACAAATATCAAACCTTCCTTTCTACAATGAAAGCCTAAAAAGGATTTTTCTTCTTCTTCTTAAATAAGCACTGGCCTACAGTTTAAAAGCTTCAACAGTATTAGTATTACTTGTCACACCTGTAAACGTTTGTCTCCTAAACCGTCTAGAAAGTACAAAGACTCAGCTGCAGCGTCTCACATGTTCCAGAACGTATTCTGGGAAGTGCAAACTACACACTTGCAGTCCGTCCAGTTTGCAAGGCATCCTAGGATACTCGTCCTCTTTCCATTTGTTCTCCTCAGGGTCAAATGTGAGGATAGAGTCGCTGTAATGACCGTTGTAGCAAAGTCCCCCGAGCACCATGATCTGTTTGTCCAACACTGCCACTCCATGCCCACTGCGTCCTATAGGCATTGAAGCCAAAATAGTCCACTCGTCGGTGTCTGGGTCATAAACTTCTGTCGACGGGCAGCCCTGGGATTCGAAAGAGGCACGCAGTATCACACACACCCCGCCGAAGACGTACAGCTTCCCGTTGTGGGAGATCATCTTATGGAAGCAGCGAGCGTAGTTCATTTTTGACTTGTTCTCCCAGCAGTTGGTGAGGATTGGCGTGCGCCGCGTACGATGATCGGACGTTCCTTCCCGTCCCGGGTCAAAGACGCACACTTGTTTTGAGGTGGAAGAGGAGGTGATGCCGCCAGTGATGTACAGCTTCCCGTTGAGCACAGTGCCTTCGTGGCCGTACTTGTTTACAGGGTAAGGATCTACAAACTCCCACTTGTCCTCAACAATGTCATAACGCTCCGTAGAATAAAACGTCTCGTCGCGAGTGCGGCCTGCAACGGCATAAATATACTTCCCGATGACGCCGACGGCAAACTCTGATCTGGGAACGGACATGTCGGCCATGCGTAGCCAGGAGTTCTGTCTGGGATCGTAGCGGTAGACCTTAGAAGAAGCGTGGAACTCTCCGTCCGGGCCTAACTCTTCACCACCCAAAAGGAAAGCGAAGTTGTTGACGATGGCCAGGCAATCGGGGCGGAGCGGTACCTGGGGGCCTTCTAGTTCCCACCACACTTTGGGCCGGTGCAGGAGGAGGATCTTACTATTGACCATGCTGTGGCCGATCATTCCACGGAATACAGCAGTCTGGGGTCTCACGGATCTGATGCGGTTGGACTTGGTTTCTGCCAGCGGTTGTTCGTTCACCTGATGGAAGTAGCTGAGCGCCTGGTCTACTTCTAGCCTCAGTTGGCGGGAATAACGGTAGAACTCTGATGTCTTCACCTATGCAAGGATGAAGAAAAAAACACACCTGTCAATGACAGGAAACTTCCAACATACAAGTCATACATACACTACCGGTTCGGGATGCACGATATATTGGCCACAATATCGGTACCGGCCGATATGTTCATTTTTAATGTTATCGTTATCGGCCCGATAAGAAAATTTGGCCCATATATTAAAGCAGATAAATAATGGATTATTTCCTTCAGCTGAGACACTTCAGATGTAACTTCGGATTCACCATGATGGTTTTGAATTGCTTGAAATATGATTGGAATCACTTCAAAAAAGGAAAATACAGTTAAGTGGAACATGTGCTGTCATAAAGGCTCAGCTGTCATATTAGTTACATAATTCAAACAAAATGAGAACATTATAATTATATAAAACTTTGGATTTAGATTTATCGGCCAATATATCGGTTATTGGCTTTCAAATATAAAAAACTATCAGTTATCGGTATCGGCCAATATTTTCATTTCGGTTCATCCCTACTATCGTACTAAAGTTTGGGGTCGTTAAGATTTTTTTAAATGTTTTTGAAAGCTCTTTTGCTTACTGAAGCTAAATTTATGCAATAAAAAAATACAATAAAACAGTAATATTGTGAAGCATTAATATAAACTAAAATAATTGTTTTCTATTTGAATAGATTTTAAAAATGTCATTTATTCCTGTGATGCAAAGCTGTATTTTCAGCATCATTACTCCAGTCTTCAGTGTCACATGATCCTTCAGAAATCATTCTAATATGCTGATTTTGGGAGTTAAAAAAAAACATTTCTTATTCTTATTATGTTGTTCTGATTAAAATGTGTGTGAAAACCGTAATACTTTTATTTCAGGATTCTTTGATGAATAGAAATATATATATTGTACTGACCCCAAACTTGTGAACGGTAGTGTACAATGATTTGCATCATGTTTTTAATGCAATTTAATGCCATTTTTGTAAAGAAAATGTAAAAATATAAACAAAAGTATTCTGTATAACCTTACAATTTTAAAAAAGTTCTGTTCATCAAACAAAAAGTCATACATAATTAAACAAAACAGCAAATTATATCATAGAGAGGACCTCTGTAGATCTTCATATATTTCTTAAAAAACTGCATAATTAAATTTAGGTTGTAAAGTGTCATGTGGTACAAGTCTCCAAAAACTTAATGATATTCATGAATTAGATATTCAAATGATTTTTTTCCTTTTTCTTACTTGTCACTGACCCCTAAACACATAATAAACAAGGAAGCATTGTTACCTTCTCAAAGATATTGGCAGGGGTCATGAGGCAAAAGCGCAGGTTCTGCACCACCGCATCCGTATGTCTCCATCGTCGCCGGTCATGTCTCAGCCAAGCCTGCACCGCCTCATACAGCTCAATTTCCGGAAATCGACTCAGCTGGTCACTATCCAGATAAGCCATCAACTTCTCCAAGCTCAAATAGGACAGGAAGTCCGGTCGCGCCATCAGAGGCACAAAGTTCTCCAGCAGAAACGCGTCAAGCTGCTCCTGCACGCCTTCCACGCCGACGCTGAAGTCTTCCAGCAAGCGCATGACCTCAGCACAATTCTCTAAGCAGATCTTGGCCAGTAGGAAGGAGCAGCAGAACTCTACAGCCTCTGTGAGTTGCACGTACATGGCAGCCTGCAGGATCTCTTGCACCGTGATCATGCTTAACTCTAATGAACCATAATACATGAAGCGAAGGACGTGACCAAACCCGGCTGCCGTCAACCCCTTCATGTGAATCTTATCCTGGTCACGTTCCCGCATGTCAGCCGTGAACATGACCCGGAAATAGTCGCTTTGCGTCGCTAACAGAGCCTTGTGCGCCTGGAAGTGGTGCTCCTCGATGAGAAGAGTGACATCGAGCAGCAGTCGCTCCTCATACAAGGCTCTGAAGCCCGACGACACGCTGCCATCATGCACTTGGGAAAGGTACACCTCCACATCCCCCGCCATTAGGCACCTGCAGAGACAAAAACAAGCTTATAAATGACACGTCAAGGCAAGTCGATATGTCCCAATTTAGCTGGTCATCTCTGCAAGGTTAGGAGGACCATAACTGTGATGAAGAGACAGACATTTACCATTTTCTCCCAAGTATTTTATAGACTTAAGTCTCGTCTCAGAGTTCAATATCAATCAACACAAAGGTAAAGGCCTGTTAAAAGGATAGTTCACCCAAAATAACATATAAAAAGAAAAAGAAATGAACACTTTTATTCAGCAAGCACACATTAAATTGATCAAAATTGACAGCAATGACATTTTTATAACATTGACAAAAGATTTCTATTTCAAGTGAATTCTGTTCTTTTGTACTTTTATCAAAGAATGCTGAAAAAATGTTTCAGTTTCCACAAAAATATTAAGCAGCACAACTGTTTTTAACATTGATACTAATAAGAAATGTTTCTTGAGCAGCAAATCAGCATGTTAAAATGATTTCCTAAGGATCATGGGACACTGAAGACTGGAGTAATCATGCTGAAAATACAGTTTTGTCATTACAGGAATATTTTTAAAAATATAATAACATAGAAAACAGCTTAAATAACTGTTTTTATAGTAATTTTAATCAAATAAATGCAGGTGAGCAGAAGAGACAGTTCATTTTTAAAATCTTACCGACCCTAAACTTTTGAGCAGCTGCTTAATTCTTTGAGTGAGCTATCCATTTAATACAAGATAAAATGATGCAAACCTTTAATTAAGTGCTTGTTGAACTAAATAGCACTTCCTCAAGTTCTTCATCAGCCAAATCATCAGAACTATTTGTAGTTTAGTGAATAATAGATGGTATAAAAACATGCCAGACTTTAATAAAGCCTCTGGAAGGACTTCAAGAACTTTCACACCTCAGCACTTCAGTTTCTGCTGCTGAAAGCCAAACTCTCTCGAAGCTCCCCCACACACTCCCCCTCTACTGCACACATACACACACAGCACACTCACCTCTGATTGGCCACGGGCATGTCACAGGGGGGTGTCCGAGCCAATCAGAGGACAGTACCTCTGTGTCCGTAGGAAATTAAATTCTGAAGATATTCACCTAAATGACAAACCGAACAAGCCCCAATCATTAAAATTACGAGAAAATCACCAAAAGACTGAAATGCTAAAGATGCATCAACAACTGAATGTCCCACTGTGTGCAAACACAATTACTTGAGGCATAAATGGAGGTAGAAGATGACAATACTTTTGACAAAATATCCCTGCTTGCACATTGAAAATGGACCATAATTGTGCAAAACAGAAGCCTCGTATAGTTTAACCATTATTTTGAATATAAAAATGAGGTGAGAAACATTTAAAGACACTGTATCCTTAACTGGTAAGGTGGCTTGGAGAAAAGCAGAAGTTGATGACTTTGTGACTTACCTTTTAGAGGCCTCCTGGCCAACGGTCGGCTTCACAGCGATGAAGGGACGTTCACATTTCCTCTGCTTGTACTTGCCCTGCTCTAAAAAGAGATGACATCCAGATGATGGAAAATAGACAGATTATGAATGAAAGTTGATCTTTTTTCATTACTGTGTTATTACTTATTATAAAACAGATAGTTCCAGTCCTTGATTGTGATTGGTTGAGCTGCGTTCGAAACCGATTTAAATTACTCTACAAACCGCATTACATCAGTATTACTGCGTCACTGCTTGGCAAGATGGCCGTTCCGCTTCTGAAGAACTACATTGCTTAATGGAAGAATAATATTTTTATCAACAGCATTACATTTTTGTGTCTGTGTGTTTATTTTATAAAAGCAATAAGGCCCGTGAAGCTGTGATTTACAGTGAATTTAGAGCAGCTCTGATTCGTGCCCAACAACGCCCCTTAGCTGTCCTAAATGCACTATGTGTAAACTATGACTTGACATGGCTTATTACTTATTACTTATTACTAATTTACATGGTTAATTAGTAATTATTACCAAATGTTCATTAGACACTGAGCAACATCTGATTATTATTTTTACGGTTGAGTAAGTGCCTATATGTAATGTGAGGGACTAAGTTACATTCACATGCACTCAGTTGACAGAAAACTAATGTCCTATTCAAAACAAACTGCATCCATTTGGCCACAAAATGTGGAATATCCCAGAATTTGTTAAAATATGATTTTAAATTCACTACCGCTAAATGCGATTATTTTAATTATATTATAATATAAATTGATACTTTTATTCAGAAAGGACACAAAAAAGATCAAAATTGATAGTAAAGACATTTATAATGTGACAAAAAAAAGTTATTTTTCAAACAAATCATTTCTAAACAAAGAATTGTGAAAAATATTTATCACGTTTCCACAAAAAATCAGCACTGTTTTCAAAATTGATAATTAATCAGGGATGCACCGATAGGAATTATAATTTTTTTGACCAATATCGATTTTAACCAACAACTATTGGCTGATTGCGATACAGATATTTGTCGCTTGCTCTCTTATTTTAACATTGGTCATTCAAATAGATTAGTGTTTCGATCATGTTTTAAATTAGCAAAGTTCAAAAAAGCATGCATTAATGCATACTAGCTAGTTTATTGCTGCATCGACAAATAATTTCTATTGAACATGGATTGGATCTATTTAAAATTCAACAGACCAGCATAAAAACAACAGAACAAAGATGCATATGAAATAAACTACTTTTCAGTTAGGTCTAACAGTAGTTTACAGGTACAAAAATAAAGTAAATCAAATGTAAAATATATTCTTACTTGTATAAATTAAACATATATTAATCCTTATTAAATTAAAAAAAGTTATTTAGTCAAAAGTAGTGTTTTTTTTGTCTTTTGTTGTTTGATTAATATTAAAACAGAGACAGTAGCGCAGCAGGAATATTAGGCTGTTATCACTTTAAGATCTGCACGGATTCAATATACTGGTACACAAGCATTTTATTTCTCAACACTCATTTAAGACACAACTGACAATGGTTACAAGGATGCTCACTAAAATGGCCATTTTTATATCATTTTGTGTGAATTAGAAAAAGTGAAAGAACTCAATTCAGTATTTGCGCGCTTTCTAAAACGCTGCTTTCCGGACGCGTGCTTTGGATTTGCGTGCACAAAACTTCTCACACAGTAGAATAGAGTAGAATCAAAGACTTTATATATAGAAAGACAGTGCATTCATATTACTATGAATGGGAAAAATTAAATAAATCCCGCCTTCTAAATAAATAGCCTCTTCACTGAATGATAAAGTCATTGTGTCACTGCAGCTGCCATTAGAAGCTCCAGTTGCTATAGAAACAGTCAGTGTTCTGAGACACACGCTTAAGCACATTGGCTGGTCCAGCCTGAAAAATATTTTTTTTAACGTTATTTTAACATTTAGAGACCACATTAATTTAATCGTAAGCTTAGTGAACAGCTTTGGAGAATGTCCCCATTCAAATAGATAGGATCTGCACTTGCATGACTGAAAAAGCTGCCCAAGAGGAGTTTCAAAGATGGCCGCCGAGTGAAATGACTTGCCTTAAAAGGGACTTTGGTAGAATTGAGTTCTCCTTGGCATCTTCTTGCACTTGAATATTTAAATTTGCAAGGTTTAAAACACGTGCAAAGAACAAACTTTTGTGAAGATGCAGCACTGGCCTGATCGGGACAGTGACAGTTTCGTCAAGCGTCGTTCACGTTGGCCCCGAACAGTCCTTATTGTTGAGCCCTGCTGTATTTTGTACAGATTTCATTTTGTTTTAGCAAGTATTTAATTATTTTACCAAGAGAAAAACGTTGTATTATGCAACAGACAGTATACAACTCAGTGCCTTCATGCAGTTAATTAACAAACTATCAGTTTGTTATATCAGCCTTTTCCATGCTAAAGCCGATGGTTTTAAACTGATCAAAAATCGTCCGATAAATATCGGCGCCCGATACATCGGTACATCTCTACAGATATTAATACGAAATTTTACTTGAGCACCAAATCAGCATATTAGAATGATTTCTGAAGTATCATATGACACTGAAGACTGGAGTAATGATGCTGAAAATTCAGCTGTCACCACAGGAATAAAATCCATTTTAAGATATACTAAAACAGAAAACAGTTATAATATTTCACAACATTACAGTTTTACTGTATTTTTTTTATCAAATACAGCCAAAAGGTAGTGTATCAAACTACAATGAGACATCTGTGTGTTATATGATACAACAATCAGTCTATTTTCCAGTAACCACTAGGATGCCTCTGGGTTTTAATTTAGGCCTATACATTTATACAATACCAGGGGTCTCAAACACATATAATCACAGTATAATATACAAAGTACTATTTTTAGAACTGTATTCTCTGATTCTGTTCTTTTCTCTGACATTAAATGGGCTTTCAGGTGTAAAACAGTTTGGATAGTTGTTAATAAGAATTATGATACATTATGTAAGATATTTAAGTATAACATGAGTAGCTCTCGACCACTTTCAATTTTAAAAAGTAGCTCTCAAATGAAAAAAGGTTGGAGACCCCTGATTTATACAGTTTTAATGTATAAATACATTTTGTTTTTAATTAATTTACCTTGTTTTGACTGTCGCTGTGGTAAACTTCTCTGTGTTTAGGGGAAAATGTGTCCTAGTAAATAATGAATGTTTACAGTCACCTTATCTTAATGACAAATGGGCCTGTTTTACCAGTGTTCAACCTTACATTACACTCAACGTGGTTTTATATCCATTCAACTTCAATGACCTCGTGTTCAGATCCTCAGTAAACGAGAAAACAACGCTTGGCTGATTCACAGAAAAGTATTATTATGAATTCTGCATGGCATGTTTTGATTTCAGTTGTTTTGATTCTAAAATAAAATTACAAAAGTATCTGAAACCGACTGGATACAAACTGTGAACTGTGATCTAATGATCTGTCTATCTAGGCAGCATTTATAGTCAATGAGTCGCTTTACGTGCATATGATTCCCAAACATGCTGTCTATCTAGGGAGCTCACTGGGTCAATATCAGAGGCACAGCCAGTAATTACCGCTGACACGTCCCAACGAATGTCAGCCCACGACATATTAAACAATTCTGATGTTTTCGGCTACAGTGAGATCAAACGAGCAAGTTATTAAGCCTGACAACGTTGCGTGTGTAAAATGAAACAATTCCAGCAGGGTTTTACCTCGGCGATGCGACTCCACGCAACCCCGCTTCGACCAGGGAGCCCGAGGTCCTTCGGACATGGAGTGCTGCTATTAGACAAAGACCAGAGAAATTAAATATGAAATCTCATTATCGAAGGAAACATGCTGCCCATTGGCGCCTTTAGGTGACAATAAACCAGTGTTATTTGGCCTGAATTGCTAAATGTTGTCTGTCTATAGCCTCCACTGCGTTCGTAGACGCCATATTATTGTCTGCACTGACGTCATTTCCCGATCATTTGTCGGTCGGACGGAAATATTGGAGTTTGTGTCAATATTTTCTGCCTACATGTACAAAATGTTTTAGTTCACCGTCACATTACAATACCATTACAATTGTTATGAAAAAATAAATCATGACATAGCCTATATTATGATTGAAGTTCTAACGTTACTTTCCTTATGAATTAAGAGGTAGGGAAGGAGCGTGTGAAACCTCCTGTTTTATGAGAGATAACGATAGATAGATAGATAGATAGATAGATAGATAGATAGATAGATAGATAGATAGATAGATAGATAGATAGATAGATAGATAGATAGATAGATAGATAGATAGATAGATAGATAGATAGATAGATAGATAGATAGATAGATAGATAGATAGGTGTGTGTGTATGTGTGTTATTTTTGCATGTGTTTATCATTTTTCTTTGTATGACTGTGGGGCCAAACAATATGTCCGTTATATGTAATAAAAAAAAAAAAGCACAATTATAAAATGTACAATTTGTCATGTTTCACATTACCACAAATAAAATAATTGCCTCCAAGCATAACTACTAAAATATAATATAATAATAAACTAACTAATAAAAAATAATAATATTTAAATAAAGGGTGAAGATGTCAATTTTCTTAGGCCGGACATCACTTTTGGCCTCAACTGTTCGGTACTTGTCACTAGTAGTGACAGTACTGTCAAAACTACAAAACACGTGACGTCATAATTCGAAGACGGACCCAGGTTTCATCCCCATCAATCCAACGTGTGTTCAAGTTTTCTACATGTTAATTACAGATTAGATCAAATATGTTGTTGGATATGTTAGTATTTTAAGTTTGTTTATGATCATTATAATCTAGGATGCCATTTCCGATCTGTTTTCTCCTTCATGGGATTTACTGGCCTTTTCTAGAAACTGATTGCATCATCCCATGCTTACAGGACGCTGTTCGATAGATGCGTTATAATTATTTACCTTATTTTTGGTGTTCTGCCGTGTAATAGGGAAAAGTAGAACATTAACTATATGTGTACATACAACACTACATAATAATTAGACAGTTTATAAATTAATGGCACACATGTATTTGTAAAAACGGTCAGGCGTTAGCTTGATCATACTCTCATTCCTTTTCTTTCAAGATGGCGGGCGACGAGTCTGGAACAACGTTGGGTCAGCCTCATCTTTCTAAACAAGACCTCAGTACATTAGTAAGTCTTCATATTTTGTTATATAGTGTAATATAAAATGTTCAAGGTGTACTGGCGCCATCGCCAGTTCGTGTTCAGTGCTCTTGTGCTCTCTGGTGAAGGCAGGCGTGCTTGTTCGCTGTGCCGGTGAAAACTCACCACATGATTCATTCTGGGATGTAGAAGGACCCCGTGTAGAAATTACGGATATAGATATAAGTTACATATATAAAAATGTCGTGAAACCACTGCCTGTTGTCATTACCCAAATGTCATTCTGTTTAATATAGTTCCTGTCTTGTTTTACTTTGGTCATGTGCTAATCTTACATACTTCTGAGCTAATTATTCACCGGTGTCTCATGTAATGTACTCGACAGTACGTTAGATCTTCCCTGATAGCAAACTTTATTAACATGCATTCCTTGAAATTAACATAGTGATTATTTTTGATACTATGACCTATTTATTAATTGCTAGCAAATAATACAATAAAGCCCTAAAATAATTATTGCAAGCTACACTCTGAATCAAAAGCTAGCAATAGCAATTATTTGATTCAATTTAAGCTTGCAACAGCAAATTGCAGCTTCTCTTTTTTAGGGGGGGAAACCTTTTCTCTCTCTAGAGAGGCTGTTACATGATTTGGAAGAAAAAAAGTCAAGTATTTATTTTTGGTGCTTGTCGCCCATGACTTGATTGTTTTGAATGTTTTGATGCATTTGTCACTACTGATATTTTTTGTGTGTTTTTATTTTATTTTATTTTTTTCGTGTACAAGGTTACACCTAGTTTGTCATATTTGTTTTGGAAATTTGTTTGATGATTAACATTAACAGATCTGCTTTGCTTTATAGGATGTGAGCAAACTGACTCCTCTGTCTCAAGAGATCATCAGCAGACAAGCCACAATAAACATAGGTGAGATTTCTTTGAACTATTTTCTCCATACAAAGTCACATTTGATCCAAATCAAGGTTTCAAATTAAAGTTAAAGTCACCATGAAATCAAAATGAACAGTTGCAGTATTTATTATAAATTATTTATCTGTTCACCTTTTTAACTAATAACTTCTCCCTCTTGGATCGACATCTCTTCTCTGATGATGTGTTTACTGATGCGAGGGCAGGACAACCTGTCATTCACATGACATCACAGCAATAGCTAGGGCTGGGCGGTATGACGGTATATATCGTTACCGCGGTAGAAAATGTCAACCGTAACAGATTTTTTTATTCCGTGTATACTGGGACATGCAAATAAGTGGGCGTGGTTAACTCGCATGCAACGTGCGTGAGACTGAAACACTGAGAATTGTCAAAGAACATGGAGAAAGCAGATCAAGAGCATCCACAAAGGAATTACGTTTTCTAAAGGGTTGTTGTTGTTGTTAACGTGATATTTTCGGGGGGAAAGGCGCAGCAGTTAATTAGAGCAGTGCAGCACCCTACAGTTTAGAGTGCACGCTCGCAACGGGGAAAACATTAATTGACAATGACAGTTCATATATCAATATCGTAACGAATTGAAATAACCTTAAATAATGTTATCTGTATCTTTCCGTCTCTTATGTATAGTTTTAAACACGAAAATCGCAGCATGACACGCAAACAGTTTGCCGTGGTAATGAACAACCTGCTTGTTAAAGCGAATGTATTATCCTGTATCTGAGGCAAAATTAATAAATATGCAGCGCGAGTTATATATTTCTAACTCCAAACAATTGGCCACTGAACCAGCTGATAAAAGCTTCCTTTGATTCGATACTGATTACAACTTGACACTCAAATTAACCGATCGCATTTTACTGATGCAAAAGACGCGCGCGTGCACACGCACTGAGAGGGAGCGCGGTGTGTCAGTGTTCACCGGGCTATGGTAAAAAAAAAAAAAAAAAACGACACAGTTACAATGTGTGCATAATTTAAACCAGGCTACTTAGTCACCATTAACAGTAGGTGCTGTTCGGTTTTCATACTGCTGCTCTCCTTCTTGTCACTTCTGAACTTGACCTTCTCTTGATTAAAGCTGCAGGTGACGGGTTGCCAGATATCACAAAAAGAGCAAAACAAGCTCCTTAAAAACGCAGTGTATAAGCAGACAGGGCAAAAATGTACCGGGGAACACATTTAAACATAACTAGTATTACTATACTAGAAAATTAAAAGTAAGGAAGTAACTAATTTATTATGAATAGAATAGTTCAATATAAAATATTCAGATATTATAAACTGATTGATGAAGTAAAGCATAACATGAGATTGAAAAATTATTCAGCAACACTTTATTTAAAGTTTAATTGCACCTATGAGTTGTATTTAATATCAATCAGTTTGGGGAAGTTCATCTAAAAGTTGATAAGTGTGTTTTGTTTATATTTAGCTATCAAAATAGTTTACCAAAGAAATAATTTACCAAATAAGAGAAAAAGAAAACAATGTGAAGTACTTTTCATTTCTAAAGTATTTGGGTTTATTTATTATACAATCGACTTTTTGTCGATTTTTCGAGAATAGCTACATATATATTATATAAATAACTATATCGTGATATATCGTTACCGTGAAATAAAATTAGTCATACCGTGAAATAGAATTTTGGTCATACCGCCCACCCCTAGCAATAGCAAACCACAACAATCCAATCAATTCCCAATGGACAAAATAAAGTCCCGCTCTACATTTTTTCTTGTTCGAGAAGTCGTTTTCACTGACTCGGATATACAGTCACAATAGGGATGAAAAGATGATTGGAGCTTCTGTTTCATGCTGGCTTTATTTATACATATGTGTTTGTCTTTAGGAACTATTGGTCATGTAGCCCATGGAAAATCAACAGTGGTGAAAGCGATCTCTGGAGTTCACACTGTCAGATTCAAAAATGAGCTGGAGAGAAACATTACAATCAAGTTGGGTTATGCTAATGCAAAGGTAACAACATTGTTTGATTTCAAATCTCTAATTATTGCAAGCTACACTCTGAGTCAAAAGCTAGAAATAGCAATTATTTGATTCAATTTAAGCTTGCAACAACAAATTACAGCTTACGTTTTTATGGGGGGGATTTTTCCCCTCTAAGCGAGGCTGTTACAAGTCATTTCTTATGAAGAAATGTAAAGTATTTATTTCTGAGGGTTTGATTTTTTTTTTTGTCATATTTGTTCGCTTGAAGTTTATATCTTTTGCATTGAATCCCTTATCTAGGTGTATAAATTGGATGATCCAAGTTGTCCACGGCCGGAGTGTTACAGGTCATGTGGCAGCAGCACACCTGATGAGTTCCTCACAGACATTCCTGGCACCAAAGGCAACTTCAAATTAGTTCGGTATGTTTTCTAATATACATAACAGTTTTTGCTGCCTAACATTTTTGTGGAAGCAATGATACCAACATTTGTGGTAAGATTAAAAAAAAAAAGAGAGAGAAATAAATACTTTTATTAATCAAGGATGAATTAAATTGTTCAAAAGTGACTGTGAAGACGTGTATAATGATGCAACAGATTTCTATTTAAACAATGCTTTAATAAATTTAGTAAATAATTATAATTAATTGCAAATAAATTCTGCTTATTGAACATTCTATTTAAAGAATGCTGAAAAAAGTATCTCCATTTCCACAAAAATATTAAACGGCACAACTGTTTTCAACATTGATAATAATAAGAAATGTTACTCGAGCACCATATCAGCATATTAGAATGATTTCTGAATATGACAATGAAGAGTGAGTAATGATGGTAAAGAAATTCAGCTTTGACATCACAGGAATAAGTTAGTATCTGATAAAGTAATAAATAGAAAAATTATT